ACGCAAGCTCAGAAGGGTACGGTGCAATACTAATTCAGCGACATAATAATCTACCACACGTGATATCCTAATTTAGCCGTCGGACAACCGAAACCGAATCGCTTTACCATTCCTACGAACTTGAAACCTTGGCGGTGGTCCGAGCGGTCGAGCATTTCAGACATTATCTGTATTGACAGCTTTTCACAGTTTTCACGGACTGTAATTCTCTTAAGGCGTCAAAATCTAAAACCGATCTTACACCCCGAGTCCCGAGTATGTGTAGCTAAATAATGTAGAATCTACAAAAGAAGATAGAAAATTCATATTTATAATATTAGCTACCTGCCTGAACTAGGTTGAGTACCTGTGTTTCAGACATCACTTATACAATCGGTTTAATAATGTAGATATTTAAATAATTAAACTAAATTGTATAATAAATAAAATAACTAAATAACAATTATTTATTGCCTACAATTAATACAAACTATTTTAGTATATCTAACAACTTCTCTGTGTCTTCGTAATTTAATTTATTTAGAAATTCCCTTACACTTATATTACAGTCCTTATAACTTAGACTATATACCTTTAGTGACTTGTTGAGCTTGTTATATAGAAAGGGTCCTAAAAATATGTAAAATTTGTTCACAAATGCGTGTTTGGTTTGAGGGTTTACACAAACTAAGTCCATTCTTCTCCTATCTATGGATTTTAAGTTAAATGGAAGTTCGGTATGTTGTTTTAATATGATTTTCAGGATAAACCATTGACGGACAGTTAGTACACTACATGCCAAGTACAGTTGATGTGTAGGAAACATGAATGGACGGAAAGTGGCTACCTTTAGAACTGCTCTCTGAGCACGTTCTAGTGGGAGCAATATTGTTTTAGAAGCACCACCCCAGGAAGTAATGCCATAAGTGAGTATGGATTGACACAAAGCTAAATAGACCTGTCTTATCAATTTGAAGTCAGCGATGTTACGAAGATATTTATAAATATATATTAATTTACGAACTCTAGCACAAAGTAAATCGATGTGCTTGCGGAAATTTAAATTTGTGTCAAACGTGATACCTAGATATTTTATATTGTCTGTTTTTGTTAAAGAGGGACATGCACATGCAATGTCGTCATACGAGTTACAATGATGAGCGTAAATATTAAGGTCAGCAGGTATGTTATTATTTCTCATTAAAAATAACATATATTGTGTTTTATCTGCGTTTAAACTTAGGAGATTATTTATAAGCCAATTGGATACTATATTAAAGCCTTGCTGAGCGTATTTATAAACCTCATCTCGTGATTTAGCTGAGAATAACAGGGCTGTGTCATCCGCATAAGACATTATGACACCATTTTGAAGTTGAAGATTGCATAAGTCATTTATATAAATTAGGAACAATGTAGGCCCCAGGATACTGCCCTGTGGGATTCCAAAAGAACTGTTTTGTAATTCAGTACTTGTATACTCACCGATTTTTACACATTGAAAGCGATCACTTAGATAATCGGAAAAAAATTGTAGTTGAGTTCCCCTTATGCCAAGTGTTTCAAGCTTTTGCAATAGTAAAGGGCAAGAGATAGTATCAAATGCTTTGGCAAGGTCTAGGAAGATCCCAATTGAGTATAAACCATTGTCAAGATTACTTGTGACATACTCTGTCAATTGGTGCAGGGCATCATTACAAGATCTCTTAGGCCTAAACCCAAATTGTCTGTCTGACAGCAAGTTATTAGTTTCCAGATATTTTATCAACCTGGTATTTATGATCTTTTCTAAAATTTTAGATAAACCAGATAGAACTGAAATCGGCCTATAGTTATTAACTAAGTTTTTATCACCAGCTTTGTGAATAGGAGAAACCACTGCTTTTTTAAGCAGTTTCGGGAAAATACCATTTGTTAGGCATAATTGAAAGATATGTGTTAACGGGGTGGCCAGTAAATGTTTAAATCTTTTCAGTATGCGATTAGGTATATTGTCCCATCCAACTGCACAATCTTCTTTTAAGCCAGATATTATACTTAAAATCTCATCAATATCGGTATTTAAAAATACAAAAGAATTTAACTTAGAAAAGGATGTGGGCATAAAAATTGGATTACAAGTGTTGCTTAATTTTAAAGTTGTCTCTGCTATTTTTTTGCCAATATTAATAAAATAATTATTCACTTTATTGGTTGCTTCATTTGGGCTTTTGTCTAATAACAGTAGATCAAGTGGGGGTCCAAGATTTTTTGAACTGAAGGTATTATTTTTAATGAACTTCCATACAAGTTTACTGTTTTTACCGGCCTTTTGTAAAACATTTTTGTCATATTGTATTTTGTGGTTTTTTAATAGTTTATTGCAAAAATTCCTATATCTTTTATAAGTAGTAGAAAGTATTAAATTATCAGGAGAAAGTTTAAATTTTAAATGAAGTTTGTCTCTATTTCTTATACAGCGGACGAGACCAGGTGTTATCCAAGGTTTAATATTATAATACTTACATGATAGTTTTATTGTTGATGTATTATTCATTATTGCATATTGTAAAGAATTTATAAAGTAACTCAAGGACGTATTTGCATTGTCAGAGCAGTAAACAACGTCAAAATTAATGCTACGAATGTGATTTTCAAGGTTCGTCATATGGACTTTAGTGTCGTTGCGTATGCAGTTTTTCCTAGGTAAGGCTAATTGTAATGTTAGTAAAATTGCTTGATGATCAGTAAGCAAGGAATTAGTAACTAATGTTAAAGAAGGTTTATATGATTTAATCACAAAATGGTCTAAACAACAGCCACTTTGATGTGTAGGGTGGTAATGTGTTGGTAATAGTCCATGAAAAGAGCAAATATTTAGGTAGTTATGTGCATGGTTATCTGTTTTTCCAGGGGTAATGTTAATATTTATGTCACCCGTTAAGATTATATTTTTATACGAGCTAAGTTTGTTTAAGGTAATATCAAGGGACTCTAGGAATCTATCAATATTTTGTGAAGGAGGTCTGTAAATTGCGATAACAATCGTCTCGGAATTAATTCTAATGATTAAGCAATTACTATCCTGGAATGTAGGTTCTGTAACAGTTACTTTTAAATTATTTTTAACATAGATTACTAAACCGTCATTTTGATTTATGTTTTTTTTGGTTTTGTGTAAAGAATAGCCATCTAGAATCGGTAGGTGGGGTGGGAGGTTTGACAGCCAACATTCTGTAAGGACAATAATATCACATTTTATATCCAGTCTATGCAACAAGACTTCAAACCCGGTTATATTCCGATTTATGCTTCTAATATTTTGTGTAAGTAAGACTAACTTATTTTCAGTACGTGGAAGGAAGTGTTTACAGTCATCAACATTACACGTTTTAGCGTCAGACACAGAAAAGTTTTCTAGGTCATTGAGTAATTGATTCGCCATACTTAAGCTTAAGGATAAACTAAAACTAGTGTTTAAGAGCTAAGTAAATAATATAATACGCGGCGCTCTTAGGCGCCCTCATAGTCTATGGAGTTGATATATTTCTCCTCTGCGAATTTACGTGCTGGACAGCTTTCATCACCAGTTTTGTGGTCGCATTTTCTTTTAAAACGTTTACACGTCGCGCAAACGGAGGCGTGCGCTTTGTTATTACATTCTTTAAAGGAATGCCCAAGCTCTCCACAGTAGTTACATGTAGGGCAACTTTCACGACAAAATTTGGCTGAGTGACCAAACTGCTGGCAGTTGAAGCATCTTGTTACTATTGTAAAGTCTCTGACTGGGCATGAGGTCCAATTAATATATATTCGTCCTTGATTGATAAGGGCCTTCCTGATGCTAGGTGGCACTTCGATAATGTAATTACATGTAAGAAGGTTTTTCTTACCTGATTTATGGCTCAGTTTGACTGTTGCCAGGAAAGAATCACGCGTGGCTTTGGGAAATTTATCGGCAATATTTTGTTCGAAGATACACTCGAACACTTCTTTATCCGTGAGGGCTAAAGGGACACCAACAATTGCAATCCTCGGACGTCGTTTAGTCGGCTCTTCCATGGTAAGGCCAGAAGATACAAGCTTCTCGGAGTTCTTTAATTTGTCGATATCCCCTTTTCTCTCAGCGCTAATTATAACTCCCCCATTTTTGACCTTCCTCATGCCCCGGACATGTAGTTTGAGTTCTTCTGGGGATATTATTTTTTGTAAGAGGCACTTCGTGTCATCACTGGATTTGGACTTGTCCCTCGGATAAATTGCTAGGGTACTAAGATTTTTTGGGCGAATGAGGGTTTGGCCACCTTTTTTGACCATGTCCGCAAAAGACGTTCCAGAGTCCGGTTTTGATGACTCTTCGATACTATTCTTGAGTTCCTGCAGCTTTTGGGACAGGTCAAGTTGGTTCTGTAGAGAAACGATGGATGTCTGGGCTTTAGTGGCATCCATTTTGAGGGACATGTACTGGACTACCAATTGTGATGTACTTTGGCCTACTTTTCGACAAAGCGAGCTGATGCGCATTTTTTGATCCGAGTTTAGTTTTCCTTCTGTAGCGATGGAGCACACCTCGTTAAGGCACAGGTCAATGCTTGTCATCCACTGCTGTAACTCAGGAGTTGGAATTGTTTTGATTGGTTCGCTTGAGATGGGTGTCTGCATGACAGTGGGTGGGGTTGATGGAGGCGGGGTGCGAGTGGTTCTGGCACTCCGGTTGAAAGGACTGTTCTCCATTTTAGTACCTATACTAGATTAAGCTAAAACATTTCAACAATATCACTAACACAAATATAACTAAAGTATGTCACAGTTACTACCGGTATTGTTATAAATATGAATATACCCCCTCTTTAGATTCAGCAAGTGCCATTAAAGCTCTAAAAAAGGCGGTTTGCCTTTTTGGATCACCTAAACGCGTTATAGCGGACCAAGGGAGATGCGACATAAGTGCCGAGTTTAGAGAATTTTGTAGGGATCATTCCATAGACATTCATCTCATCGCAACAGGATCTAGTAAAGTAAACGGTCGGGTAGAGCGCGTAATGCGCACTCTGAAAAGTATTCTCACCATAGTTGAGAACGACCCGAACAAAACTTGGCGAGATGAACTTCTAGATGTGCAGTTTCCTCTAAATAGTACGCGGTCCAGGGTAACTGGATATTCACCCACAGAGCTAATGTTTGGGATAAAAGCTCAATCCTTAAGTATGTCAAAAATTGTATTAAGTTCCGAACCTGAACCCCGATCAGACTTAGACACCATCAGACGTAATGCTGCTGACAACATTGCGAAAGCAGCTGCAGCAGAAGTAGAGCGATTCAATCGAGGCAAGGCAGTCGTGAAGCCATTCCCTATAGGCGAGTATGTTTTTATAATAAACAACGAGCGCAATCAGACAAAACTTCATAAAAAATTCAAAGGTCTATTTTTAATCACTAAGGTGTTAGAAAATGATAGGTACTCGTATGAGCTGAAAAACGTTGATGGGTCTAATAGGATTTACAAATATGCTCACGAAAATCTTCGTTTAGTACCCGGGGGCTATGACGGTCTGGTAGAGATCGCTACGTCGTTAATTAATACTGATGAGGAGGAGTTCGTGACGGCGGGGCAGAGCCAATATGATAGGACACTAACATCAGGTGAGGACAGTGACACAATATCGGTGTCCAGCGGTCGTACCGAAACGGCAAGCTCAGCAACCCTCTCAGCATCAGAACGCGAGGAATTTTAAGGTTAGTAATGTCGGTTATGGGAATTAATTGATGCTATTAAACTGTCTAAGGTGTAGTCATATGAGATGACATGTAAAGAGCCAGTTGTCCAGTCCATGTTGTCATATGAGATGACGACTGGCCGAAGGGATGCTGTCGCTCTAAGTTAGGTGTCGTCATATGAGATGACTAGTAGAGACCCAGTTGTCCTGTCCACGTTGTCATATGAGGTGATGACTGGTCGAAGGGACGCTGTCACTCTCTGAGTTAGGTATCATCATATAAGATGACGGATAGAGAGCAAGTTTTCCGGTCCACGTTGTCATATGAGATGACGACTAGTCGAAGGGACGCTGCCGCTCTGTGAGCTAGCTAGTCGAGGGTTAGGTTGTCCGGTCCAAGTCATCATAGGAGATGATGGTTGGTTGAAAGGACGCCTTAGCCAGTGTTAATTTGCATGAGGTCAAGCGTAAGCGCCTTGCCTATATGTGTGGGGGTTCTTAAATGTCCAAAGATAGGGACAGTGTACCTATTCATGTCAGGATAGGACGAGCGTATGAAAGTGGTAATCCCAGCGGGTTTTTCCTATTGTTACAGAATAACTCTACACCAAAAGCAGCACGAGGACGTACTAATGTCAGTCCGGCCGTGACGGTGCGTCTGATTATTTCGAAGATTATTTAAGAGTGAATGTCAACCGGATATGCAAAACGCCATATGTCGAAGTAATCGGTTGTCATTCACTCTGACGCAACACCGAGGGCTAGTGCGAAAATAAAGAGAGAGGACGAGGCAGTTCGCATCGAGACGGCGATCGGTTCACATCGCGAATAAGCGCTACGTTCTTGGTGGAGTGTTTAACGATTCAGTGCCCATAATAATTTTGTGATAATACCCTAATTACATTTTGAGTGAACTACTTCTTTTAATTCTCCTTGCCCGATTACCCACGTCTAATTAAGGTCAAGTATGGATCCACAGGATATAGCAGCCCACCATGACGTCCCTTTATATAATTAAATTGTTTGTGTTGTAAATTGGGTATAAAATTTCAGTTTACTGAATATGCTGATATATTGCACAAACTACAATTTAAACCGACGCAGAATGATGAATGATTTGGCTTCAGAACCCTTTATTAAGTCCCCTGGACTTGGTATTTCACGAATATATTAGAATTGCAGACATGACTTTTCTACCGATTTACTATATGTATAGATGTGTAGATTTTTATATACTTCCTTAATTTCCTTCTACTGTTATTCTGGTCCTTTCTGCTGTTCTTGATGTGACAGAATTATCACCAGTCAAATCTATTGATTTGCATTCTACGAGCTTTTCGAACAGACTCTTAGTTTGGCATGGTTGCAAGCTATCTATAAATTGTTTAAATTGCAAAATTTGCTAAAGCTTTAGTTAACTGTAACTGCAATGCAGCAATTAATCTCCAGAATTCCTCATATTCTTTGCTGCATCCGTCAAACTCATCGACTATCTCCTGGAGTTGATCCCTTTCCTTTAAAATATTTTTATAGTCTCTATGCGACTTTACCATATCACTTTTTAATTATTTACTTTTTTTTTACTTTTTAAGTATTTTTTCGAAATTATACTTATACATATTCATCAGAATATGTAAATCTTATTAGTTAATTTAATATAAATTCTATTTGAACACGCAAGGCACGTAAGCACGCACGCTCTCCCGTATACACACGTTCGACACGCACGCGTGCTCACAACCACACTAATTTTATTTTAATTCATAATTAAAATTAATAGGGTGTTAGTATAAATTTATGTTATAATTAATAAATCTTCTTATCAAGGAGTTTCAGTTTACTGTTGGAAAACACAGTAAAGTTATGGGGCCAGGCGCTAACAATTCCTACTTTTATTTCTGGTGGATTTTTAGTATTAATTCATTCATCAGAATCTCTTGTTTAGTTGACGGGTCGTCAATTCTATCAAAATATCCATAACAATAATACTTAACTTTGTTATTAAACTGAAGACCAAGAAATATCATATTCGTTTAAAAGAAAAATGTTCTGTTTATCCTGTCTGACACCTGCCATCGGATGAAACTATCTTTCGATTATCTTTCGATTTCCTCAGGAAGTCCTATTGGAAAATAAAAATTTCATTCTTGTCTGTTTAGAAAAGTAAAAACCGACCTCAGAGAATAAGAATAAAATAATTTCACATTCTAAAGTCAGTGTAAAGTCTAAATTTAGTCTTTTTAGTTTATTGAGTTTTTTCTTTAATATATTTTTTTACTTTATAGAAATAATACTAGCAATGCTATGGACATAACTAATATTCCCTTTAAACACTCCTGTTAAGCTTAAACTGCTTGCCAATTATTAGTAGTGGCTCACAACATTAGTCGAATGGTGGACTTGAACCCACGACCTTTTGAGTTTGCGGTGCGTACTATGCCATTAGGTTACATTCGAAAATTCACCAATCACTTTTCATAAAAGTAATTTTTTAAGTTATCAAGTTTTCTAAGGTATATTACAATCCTAATGTCATTCATAACTGGAATAAAAATTTCATCTCCTATTTTGTCACCCTTACTTGTGAAATTTTTGTTTCAAATGAAAATTTTGTTTATATGAAACCATCCCGGAAGAATTAACATATTTATAAAAAAAAGGATCATTAAAATCACAATTGACGAAAATATCGCACAACATACATATATAAAACATTGATTCAAATTGGAAACCTTATTTTTTGAAGTTGGTAAATATACGCTGTCTGTTCATCTTAGAATGGAAATCAGCCCCAAGCCGCGGTTATTCGATGATTATCGGTTTCGTATCGCAATTTATTCAGAATAAATTCATGTTCTGGGTTGAAAACCTTTACATTTTCAACGATTTACGTCGCTGATTTATAACTATTCTAATAATTAATTACAAACAGTACTTAATTTGGATTGTGTAATAGAATCCACTACCCCATATGTTCCCGAGGGTGTCGTAAGAGGCGACAGAGGGAAATGAAACAGAAGACGGGCAACAACATCTGGCTGATAAAAAATTAATAAAACTTAATAAAATAAGGAATCGAATTAAATATTTTACCAGTTTAAACGGAAAACTTAAGGAAATTCAAAATCTTTGTTTATGACAAATAGAGAGTATTTCGATGAAAGAAGCAAGGAAAAAAGAATATGGTATAAAACAATTCAAAGTCAGCCTCTTCGGATACCGTGGTATAATAACATTGAAATGAATAGAAGCTATATAATTACCACTCATAGGTTACATTCTGGGCACTACCTCAATAGGAGAATGCCAAATCTTGCCCCACCTGGTACAAAAATTGTAATAATATGAAAAATAATGTTATGAATTTTGAAGTTTTTGTGATTAATCGTTATTTTGTACAACTTGCGGTAAAATATTATTTAAAAAAAGGAATTTAACGATTAATATTTACATTTCTAGTCTTTTCTAATAACATCTGCGTTTCTTTGTACGAATAAGTACAAAGAAACGCAGATGTATAAAGTATCAAACAATACATAGTTCAATTAAAATATATTATAAGTCTTTGTCATATAAAGATGTAACTTATCAATTTTTATTTTCAATTATTATTGTAAGTCAATAATAATCATGAATTGCATTAGATAATTACTGAATAACAATTACTGATTTTCGTGCATTTTGTGAAAAGATACATACACGTCATTGTGTCAATCTCGTTAGTAAGTATATGTCAAATTAATGTCGAATATTTTCACAAATTGACTAATTTGTTCTTGTGAAATATATTATTTATGAGTATATCACATTTTTGCTTGTGATGATTGCCGTTTTCTTTACCGTTGCACTTTTTCCTGCTTTTGATGACGACTTATGCTTTTATTAATATACGAACGCCTACTTATTGACTTACTGCTAATTTAAAGGCCGGCAACGCATCTGCAATTCCCTCCCTGGTGTTGCAGTTGTTCATGGGCGGCGGTAGTCACTTACCATCAGGTGAGCCGCATGCTCGTTTGCCCCCTCTCCTATAAAAAAACATTACTACGGACATTCTGATAATTGTTTCTACGATGTTGAGTTGCACTAATTATTGTTTTGTGTCCTTATTTCGATATACAATCTTAATCTTAATCTTGTGTGCTATCACCAACGCTGTTTCTTCTGCATTTCAATGATATGTTGCTAACTGGTAACATTCATTGTTATGCGGATAACAGCACTGGTGATGCTCTATACACCGGCCGTGCCAATATTTCTCGAGAAAACGTCGCCGAGTACCGGAACAAACTTGTGTCTGAAGTCGAGTCTTTGCTGAACAAAGTCTCGGATTGGGGGCGACTAAATCTAGTCCAGTTTAATCCTCAGAAGACACAAGTTTGCGCGTTTACCGCTAAAAAGAACCCCTTTGTCGTATCTCCTCAGTTTCAAGGCACTCCCCTTCTTGCCTCAGCCAGTATCGGTATCCTCGAAGTCGACATATCGAGTGACGTGCAGTTTCGTGGTCACTTGGAAGAGAAGGCCAAATTGGCTTCTAAAAAGCTTGGCGTGCTCAGCAGAGCGGGACAGTATTTCATGCCGGTACACCGCCTGCAACTTTACAAGGCGCAGGTTCGGCCCCACATGGAATACTGTTCCTATCTCTGGGCAGGGGCTCCCCAGTGCCAGCTCCTTCCACTTGACCGCATCCAACGCAGAGCGACTCGAATCGTCGACGACCGAGCCATTTCCGATCGGCTCGATTCATTGGCACTGCGAAGAGATGTTGCATCCCTTTGCATTTTCTTTCGCATCTATCATGGGAGTGCTCTGAGGAATTGTTCGGATTAATCCCAGCCGCCAAATTTCACGAACACACATCGCGGCAGAACTCCTGATACCATCCACATCATCTGGATGATTGGCGGTCCACCACTGTGCGATTTAGAAGATGTTTTCTTCCTCGCACGACTTCCTTGTGGAATCGATTACCATCAGCGATTTTTCCGGACCGATACGACTTAGGGACCTTCAAGAAA